TGCTTCCTTGCAATCGCACACTTGAGACCATTCCAATTGCACTTAGCAGTCTGGCTTTAGTATTATTATGCAAAGCACATTGCAAAATGGACGCTTAGAGTCTTTGCGGGTGAAAGCATTGGAAACTGACAGCGTTGTTTCATATTATTTTTTTTTTTTTTTCAAATTCAATTTCTTTTATTTTCTTCGTTTTTCCGGCACATCCTTAAGGGAAATAGTTCGTGCATCCAACTTTTATAGTGACTCCACTGTGAGCTGTTGCGTTGAAATAAATTCGTATTTACCAATCACATCCGGCTGCTGTCAATGATTATCGTGAAAAAATATAGAATGCAACTGTAGAGAGAGGGATTGGGATTTGTGTAGAGTACGAGGTTTCAAGTGTCTAGACAACGTGTTGAATATATTAACTAAGTATTATAAGCAGCTGTTGTTGAACAATTTTTGGTTGGTATTTCAAAGTTCTGAAAAGGATTCAATTACATATATTTTCTAATATGCATAGTCTTTATATATACTGAAAAGTTTCTCAAATATGGTGTCAATAGCTAGAAGTAGTTCAATGTAATTAAATATTATTAATGAATATGCTGCGATAAACGATTAAGTCTACAACCTAGACCTATTTGTCATAATTAGAAATTTTTCCAAACTTTGTTCTAATGCTTTCTAATGATTTATTTGAAAAGTTATATATACTATATATATATATATATATACACTCTACTAATCTCACAAGCTGGAGAACTAGATAAAGCTCTCAAATATGGTATCAATAGCGAGAAGTAGTTCAATGTAATGAAATATTATTAATAAATATGCTGCTAGAAGCGATTAAGTCTACAACCGAGACCTATTTGTCATAATTACAAATGTGACAAGAATAAACTCTATTCTTATGTTTTGAAATGTTATTCGAAAAATATATTGATATACATAAATATTCTACTAATTTTACAACCTAGAGAAAAATAAAGAAATAGAGAAAAACAGTTGAATGCCTACAAACCAGAAATCTCGCAATTAGAAATGAATCAATGCAATACCCGAAAACGGATATTGGAAAGAAAAGATCAGGAATAAACTATCGCAACGTGGTAAGACACACGGAACATTAGCATACAAAGAAGAGGATCAGTTATACAGATACCTAATCTAATTACCTGGTTCAAATGGAAATCGGGAGACAAAAATTACTAACTGATCAGACATGGATACTTTTGCATCTGTACCACTCAACAAAGTCGGAGAATATAGTGGAAAGATGTGAGCCTAACCAGAGAACTGGCGAACGATGAAGAAATCAGACATAGAAAAAAGAAACAGAAACTTGTGTAATAAATAGATAAAAAACCAAAAAATGTGGTGAAATAATGAAGATCACACAAACGGAAAATCAAAAAAGCATGGTTTAAAATACCAACATAAAAGAGATCCTTCCTGAAGTAATGCAAAAGCGGTTTCAGGGTCAATAAGAAACTATAAAATTTCCTGATAACAAAACTCTCTTCGCTTTTTTGGAGTACGTTCTTCTGAAATAAGTGCTCAATAAATTTCTACAAATTGAGATTTTGTTACCTATAATGGAATTAAAAGTTTGTTGTTCTTAATTCATCTTTTTAATTAAATACACTGTATCACATAGCAAATTTTATATTTCTCGCAGTAAGTCTTGAATTCTAATATCAAATTTATGTCAATGATGTTATATTAGTTATAAAATTTTAGTTACAGAGAAGTTTCATTCAGAAGAAAGTTATAGATACTCTGTTTGTTGCTTTATTGGAACACTAGAATACAATGTTGCTTAAGTGGATGGTTCAATTAATTACGGATGTTCTTACATATCCTGAAGTCGCCATTTTGTTGCTATTATGGGTGTCAGTCATAATATTCTTTGTTATGGCATTTTACTTTGTTATTTTCGAGAAGCATATGGTGGTAAGTTTGTAAATATCACTACATAATTGTCGAATTTCATTAAATTTTTTTTATTTCAGACATTGAGATTTACATACCGGAAACTTAGAGTTATCGTTCAAAAAATATTGCAGTGTTTGGATGATTAGATTGCTGCCTCGAGAGAATAAAATGCTGTAAACTATATAAATTTGATTAGCTGTACTCAGAGTATCAATTTGGTATCCAGTATCAAATTAAAGAAAAATCATCTTTTGTTATTGAATAACTAGACCATTTTATAAGATTTAAAAACGTCTAAATTATTTAATAAAACCATTTGTGCAGGATATACATAATTTTATTTAATATTATTTAATTTATAAATGTAAACATTGTTTCTTAATTATATGATTAATCAGTTTATTTAGATAATAAATAGTCAGATGGATAGTAAGATAGATAGACAGATGGATATGTATATACATAGATACACAGATAGATAGGTAGATAAACAGATTGATAGTTAGCTATAATCTCCTAGCAATATTACACATAAAATATATTCAAGAAGTTTCTATTGTTGATCAACAAAACTGCAACTCTATTCACCATGTGTTAAATCTGTTATGCTCTATGGTTGCGAAACTTGGTGAATCAATATCAATGAAATAAGAAAGATAATCTGTAAAGAATTCTGGCCTTATACAATTAGTAACGAAGTGGTCTAGCAACTTTGTAGTCAAAAAGAAATTAAGTACTGTATAATGAGAAAACGCTGGAGATGGATTGGGCATACATTCCGTAAAAAACGCCATTGATATCTCAAAAGCCGCATTAGAATGGAATCTAGCGTTTAAACGAAAACCTGGGAGATCAAGTAACACATAGAGAAGATCGGTGCTAGCAGAGCTTGAAACTATGGGACTGAACTGGTCACAATTAAAAATTCTCTTAACAAAATAAGATATCGTGAATGGATTGAGACCTTTTGCTCCCATTTGGAGTAAATTTAGGGGGGAAGATAACACACAAAAAAAAAGATATTTAGATACCCCTATAGCTAGATAAATAAATAAATAGATAGATAGATCAAAAAAAATAAAAATAAATATATAGATAGAGATATACAGATAATTAGATAGATCAAAAGATATATAAAAGCAATGATTTCAGTTACGTTGCTAGAATTGTCAAGAGATGATCTATTTCTTAAACGTTTGTAAATGTGGCATTGAATGGAATAGTTTAATATTCGAAAATGGGACCTTTAAAATAATTCTTTGGACTTTTGTATAAATTCAAGTAATAAAATAAAATTTACAATGGCACTAGTCTTTTGAATTAGACCTTCTAGTAATTTTATTGTACTAAATACTTGGACAATACTTCACATTGAACGTGGTCATGTACAGTTTACAATTATTATATATATTTAACGGTTTTCTCTTCTTCACCCTTCAAAGCAAGTTTCTAAATTTTATAAATGTGGAAGCATTTTCTATGGGTTACAAGTCCATCCATATATGATATAAAGTTTTTTTTTTTAAGTTTTCTTTGACTGTTAAGGTAATTAACCCGAGATTCAATTCTCAGGTATGCCCCATATTGTTAAATAGTCCGGCAATTTAAATGTAAAAGGAACTAACTAATAATTTAAAGAAATATATATATATATATAAGAATTTCAACTGGTTTTTATTTCACACATTCAGAAAGGTATAGTTTATACTATTAAACTAAGATAAGATAGTTTATGCTCAATAAGTTATATTTGCATAAACATACTCGTTGGAGATTTTTAGTAAGCAGTAAAAGCGTGGATATGATAATCCGTTTTTACTATAGTGATATTTGAGCTGTTGATGCCGTGTCATATTATTCAAAGGATCTGCATATCTTTTTATAGATTAATAAAGTAAAAAGTTGAACTATGCTTTCGTTTACCCCTTTATAATTTAGGTAAGGTTCTTGAAGTATTCAGTCAATTATTTTTGTATAATTGTATAATGATTATAATTTACATATATTGTATATATATTGTACTAATATTTGCTTATTATTATTGAGTGATGTTAATAGATTAAGACAACAATAATTAAGTTAAATAACTCCTAAGTATTTTATTTATTTATTTGGTTCAAAATATTCATAATAAAAGTTAAGTATCTCCATAAGGAATAGAAGTATAAACGTCACGAACAGTTGAGGTTGAGTAAGCAGATGGAGCGGTGATGTCTAAAGGATCACCAGCAATGAAACGACGAGCAGGTGCAGAAAAAACACCTTTTACCATTGGATCAGTAACTACTGGATTAGTAACTAGTGGATCTGTATAATCTAAATGATCTATTGTAACCAAAGGCGTAAGTGCAGGGGAAACACTTTTTACAACTAAAGCTGTAGTTAATGGAGTCATTACTGGAACAGAAGTAACTACTGGTGCAATAGTAATGTCGTTGTGTTTTCTAGTAACAATTTGGTTATATTGAGTAGTGATGAAAGAAGATGGAGCAGCCATCAACTCGTCAGATCCAGTATAATACAACGGGGCTCTAAGTACACCAGGCATAGCGAGAACGCATGCTATGTAGGGGAGTAAAGTGATAATCTTAAAAAGAAGTGGTTTTATTTTAAAATTCTTTAGTTCTATATAGAATTACTTACCAACTTATTCATAATAATTTCCTTTTTATTTTTATTTTAAGTTTTTCAGTTAGTGATGAAAATTGGTATCCGTTCACCGCGATGTGTGAGTTGATTTCGTTAATTGATGTGTGTCTTAAAACAGTTATTATAGTTTTTGAAGTCCATTAAAATTCATCGCACAACTTACCAATATATGTATCAACAACGCCCTGATGTTTAATATAATGTCGAGAAATTTCAAATATGGTAATGTGAGTAATGAAGCGAAATATCTTACGTATTTGGTTTTAATAAATATAGAAGGACAAGTGCACGTAACGACCTTTTTAAGTAATTTGCTTCACATTTGCAGTTAAAATTTGTATAAAAAGAATTCAATTTCATAAGAATATGTCAAATACAAATTAGCTTTTGATTTACAAACAACACAAATTAAACTTAAAGCAAACAAAATGTTCAAATTCGTAAGTTAATTAAAAAAATGATTAAAATATCTTAGATTATAAATAATTTTATATAATTTCAGGTAGTTGTCATATTTGCTGTCATTGCCTGTGTTGCTGCTAAGCCTGGTTTGATTAGTGCTCCATTAGCTTACACTGCACCCGCTGCTGTTGTAGCTGCTCCAGCACCTTTTGTCACTGCCACAAGTAGTCAAGTTGTTGCCAGAAACTTTAATGGAATCGTTGCTGCACCAATTGTCGCCGCTGCTCCAGTTGCTGCTCCATTAGCTGTTGCACCATTAGCTGCTGCCCCCTTAGTATCTACGCCAGTTGTGAAAACTGTTGCACCTGTAACTGTTCCCTTAGCTGCTGCTACTCCATTAGCTGCTGCCCCATTAGTGTCTACTCCAGTTGTGAAAACTGTTGCACCTGTAGCTGTTCCCTTAGCTGCTGCTACTCCATTGGCTGCTGCTCCTGTTGCAAAAGCCGTTGCACCAGTAGCTTACTCTGTTCCTTTGGCCTACTCTGCTCCTTTAGCTTATTCTGCTCCTCTTATTCGTGCTTCATATACAGGAGTGCCATTGTCTTATAGTGCACCATTATCTTACTCTGCTCAACTTGCCGCTACCTCAGTTCTATTGTAAATGATCTCAACAATAAAAATAACTTTAAGTAATATATTAAATATAATATTATAAATCAAAAGTTATAAGATGTTGTTTACTTCACCAGTTAGAACAGGAAAATAATAGTTACTAATATTTAACTAAGAAATGTTTTTTTAGTTTAGACCTATATAATGTGTTGATGACTACATCTACGAACAAGAAATGTTAATTTTGTTTATTTGCTAATTAGTGTAATATAGCTCCTTAATCCTTTCGAGATTAAGAAGACAGATTCGCTATATATTTTTTAAACAATGTACTATCGTAGCTAGACAAGCATTGGGACTGACAACGAACCCGGTGTCACAATGGCATAACTAGGTTAATAACAAGATGAAGGCATTTAAAATCAACTTATAGTGATAAAAGTAGTGTCGCTATAAACGAAATTCGATTTAGAAAGTTTTATTAAGTTTTTATTAACTTATAATAAATATTTAATATATTTTGAATTATACATATTTTCAGTTAAATATACAATATATTTTTAAATGCTTTATATAAACACTTATCACATATCTCAATTTAATGTGTTGAAAATATGCTGATTTTAATGGTTTATTAAAATAATTTTGATTTTATTTCTAAATCAAATTGGTTTCTGTTTCTAATATCAAATCAAGCTGTATTGGTATTTGCAAATAAATATTTGTGTTTATTGACCTTAAATATAAATCAAAATTATTTCGACCATTTAAAATGCGAAACGCGAGTATCTAAAATGTTTTCAAACCAATCCGCCAATGAGTTTGTTGACATTGGTCAGTTACAAAAATTTTAAAGCATTCCAATTGAAATGCAAAGCCGTAAATCCGTTAAAATAAAACGTAAAACTGCGATAAAAATTAAATAGATTTTACCAAATATAAACAGAAATCAATGGACAGTAAAGGAGTAAACAATTTCTGAGTTACTGAATTACATTCCAAACGCTAAAATGCACAACTGCACAACTGCATTGGATGCACCATTCAGATGCATCCGAAATGAAATAAAATTTAAATAAATTAGTACGTTTACTAATTTTACAGTTGATTGCTTTTGCTTTGATTGCCTGCCACATGATTTAATCGGGCTTTCCAGTAGGAGCCAAACTCAGTTGCATTAACATATCATTTCCAAATAGTTAAGTCGAGTTCAATATATCTACTATTAAACACTTTTGTTTAAACCAAAAATTAGTTTTGGTTTAGTAGTTAGATTTACTGCTCATTCCAAGGCGTGCTAACATTCTGTATAGATCTCAGATTACTTTGAACTATGCACTTCCAAAGACTGATCTTTTTTGAGTTATATTATTAAATTTCAATATAAATCTTAAGTAATTTTAATATATTGAGTATTTATTTATAAATAAATCTCCATTTTTGGGTTGAAGTCAAATTTAACATTTTCATATATCAAAAACTGCTGTTGCCAGAGAATTAATCGCTTGAGCAATATTTTAATACAGATGTTTATCCTTTGGACACTGCGAAAAGACAGCTTTACATTTTGAACTCGCACTAAATTTATACTGAATTTATGCTGCAACATATTTAAGCTGTAGCTTAATAACAGATATTCTTTCCTTTACTTTTATAAAGACTTTCAACAACTTCACTGGCAAGTATTTAATAAAAAAAATTTAATGATTGCTTCAAAAATATTAACTTCCTTTTTATTGTTGCAAATTTCAGTGCACTAAATTAATTTATTGCAAGGATATATGCGAATTTTGATAAAAATTTCCCTTTGTTAACAATCCCCATAAAGGATATGTTCAAAAAGTAACGAGAATTTCAAAGTTGTACATTATGTTTCTTGTCGATTTTTTTTTGTATATTGGTTGCACTGCTAGTAACGCATACATTAACTATAAAGCAGCTGCGATACTTAGCTTGTGTTATGCAGAGCGAATGAAAATTATCGTGGTTAAGGATCTTTTGTGTGGGAAAGAATCGGGTCGGAGTTATTATACTGAAACCCGATATGCTATAAACGGAATGATAAATAGTGTAGCATGTACAATGCTAAAGTAGTTTTTTGGCGGCTATGTCACAATCATAATGTAATGATCTTCACAGAAAGCGCGAGAAGATATTAAAAACAACGCATGGTCTGGTCAGTCCAATATATTCATCAATGATGAAAACATGAAAAAAAATTAAATAAATAGTGTTTTCTAATAGAGAGAGAAAGCTTGCTGAGGAAGTAGGAATCATAAATAGTTCATGAGAAGCTGTTTTTACCAATGTTTAAGAAATGAAATGAGTGGCAAGAAAAATTTTTTTTAATAATTTGATGCTTCTTCAATGGTCTGTGGTGAAGCAGTATATCACTATTATACCGCATACATCTACGCTCAATGTGTATTACATAGTAACATTTTTTATTTTCTAAAGTCAAAAGTACAGTCGCTCAAGACCATACCTAAAAAGACATTCCAACAGTGTTTCTTAAATTACGGAGAACTAATAGTTAAAAAAAATACTAGAATTAAGTTACTTGAATACGATAAGAATAAAATAGAAAAGGAATAAACATTTTTGTTACTTTTTGATTACATCTCATAAAGGTCACTTTCAGGAGTACCAATATGCTTCATATTGCGCCCCTTGTCTAACGAAGCAATATTTAGCGTGTAATGCACTTTAAACTACAATGTCGCATAACAACTCATTAATATCAAACTCATATTGCTGAAATATGTATCGTATATGTCAGTAGCCATCAATATCGTCTTTTAAATAGTAGAATTAAAATTCAACAATATATTAATGGTCATTGGGAATTAATATCTTTACCAAAAAGTAAACCTTAAAACTTCAAATAGTTGACACAAAATCACAAATGGAACGTTAAAAACATTTTTTGAAAATTTGGATATAAGAAATAATAATTAATATTAATTAATTAATTAATAATTAATAAAAGGCTAAAACTTTCAACTATATTAGGCTACTATATCCGACAATATAGTTTAGAACCATAAAAAATAAAATTGTTTGAGATATTCAGTTCATTAGTTTAATTATTTTTCAATCGAATATGGTTTTTATCCATAATTTAAAGCAGAACAGGAGCGGCTGTATATTTCAATGGAGCAACTGGTGCTACTGGAGCAGCAACTGGAGAAACAGCGGCATAAGTTGCTGGCACAATGGCACCATCGTATCTTTGTCCGATGTGAACATTGTCGGCAGCATAAGCAGCATCCAAATGAGCATTAACATAACCAACTGGAGCAGCAGCATAAGCAGCACTAACAACAGGAGCAGAATAAGCCAATGGAGCAGCAGCAGCCAGAGGTGCAGCAGCGGCTAAAGGAGCAGCTACAGGTGCAACAGTTTTCACAATTGGAGCAGCAACTGGAGCAGCAGCAACAATTGGTGCAGCAGCGATTCCATTAAAGTTTCTGGCAACATATTGACTACTTGTGGCTGTGACATAAGGTGCTGGAGCAGCTACAACAGCAGCGGGTGCAGTGTAAGCTAATGGAGCACTAAGCAGACCAGGCTTAGCAGCAACACAGGCAACGACAGCGAATATGACAACGACCTGAAAGAGTAAATAATCTTGTTAAAAATATCCTTTTACCATTTCTTGATTAACTTACGAATTTGAACATTTTGTTTGTTGTGAGTTTAATTTGTGTTTGTTTGTGAAACAAAAGCTGATTTGTATTTGATATATTCTTCCGAAACTGAATTCTTTTTATACAAATTTCAACTGCAAATGTGAAGCAAAATGCTTAAAAAGGTCATTTCTTGCACTTGTCCTTCTGCATTTATGCAAAACAAAATATTTGAGTCATTCCATTCAATATTCCAAAACTATTTTATAAAATATGTTAAATTGCTTGTTTCTTATATTAAACACCGAAACCTCATTTATACAATTTTTGGGAATTTGTGTGAAGAATTTTAATGAAGTTCAAAAACTACAATAACCGTTTTAAGATACAAACGCGTTAAGTCAATGAATTGAAATTGAAATTTAAAATTAAAATTGAACTCGTAAATAAAAATCGGTAACAGGCAACTACCAACTATCAACTAGCAACTAGCAATTGTGAAGTGAATCATTTCACTTATACAAATTTTTGTATAAAAATAGTGCGAAGCTCTTTGTTTGATATCAAAAACGTTTTAGTTCTCTTCACAGTAACTTAAAGTACAAAAAAACATCCAATCAAAATGTTCAAATTTGTAAGTTAATTGAGAAATTATAGCAGGATATTTCTATTAATATTATTTACTATATCAGGTCGTTGTCATCTTCGCTGTCATCGCCTGTGTTGCTGCTAAACCAGGTCTACTAAGTGCTCCATTAGCCTATACTGTGCCTGCTGCTGTCGTAGCTGCTCCAGCACCTTTTGTTACTGCTACAAGTAGTCAAGTTGTTGCTAGAAATTTCAATGGAATCGCTGCTGCACCAATTGTCGCCGCTGCTCCAGTTGCTGCTCCATTAGCTGCTGCTCCAATTGTGAAAACTGTTGGACCTGTAGCTGCTCCTTTGGCCGCTGCTGCTCCTTTGGCTTACGCTTCTCCTTTAGCTTACTCAGCTCCATTAGCCCGCGCTGCTTATGCCGCTGCTCCTTTGGCCTATAGTTCACCATTGGCATACTCTGCACCACTCTCAGCTGCTCGAGTTTTATTGTAAACGAGATCTTACGTTGAATGACTGATATATAAATAAATGAATTTATAATTTTTAATTTAATATACGTCTACTTTAATAACTATCTACAGTATTAACTTCTTAGGATTGTCTTCTAAGGATTTTTTTTTATTTTAATCGGAGTAGCACTAGTTACTATTTTAAGTTTAGAGCTTCAGAAAATCAATTAATCGGAAAACTTGATCATTAATGGCATAGACATTGTGTAAATTGAACTTTAGAGCTATTCAAAACAGCTTCATTCACTTCATTATGGAATATCATCTCTAACAATGAAATTAATTTCAGATTATATAGTTTTGTAAATAAGCGTTATTGGCACATTTGAAAAGTGAAAATCCCTGTTCATGATGGAAGTTCACGTTCACAAAGAATAATAATAATACTAATGGAGATGCAGATGCATTGCATTTTTGATAATTAAAATAGCTTTTGGATTTACTAAGAATGAAGAATGCTACAAGAACAAAATAACTCATTTTCTGGTGCATCAAATAGATAATTTCGACTAAGACGATACTATATATATCTCACAACCACATTCAATTTATATAAAATAAGTTCGATGAACGTGTAAGCATTTATCTAGAAATGTCGATATAAAGTTGCTCGTAGAAATATTCGACTTTATTTCCTTTAAACTTTTTTCATTGTATTATGTTAAAGTATTGGGTTCTCAGTTAATAATTATATAATTAACATTATGCTCTTTAATGGAGAAATAAGAGCAGTTTTATATAAAAAAGAGGTTAATTGGTATATAGAATAGAATTTTATAAACAATTTAGAGAGACTATTTCTATAGAATCATTTTTGAATAATGTTATAATTTTGCACCGTTTTATTTTAATTTTAGCTTAATAAAATTTGATCATCCGTAAAATGCCTTTTTTGTATATTACGCAAGGACGTCTGGAACTGTGCAATATAGATACCGCTACTTAACTATATTTCTAAAATGCTATGCTGAGTAAGACCCTATTTTAAATTAGAACATAAACATTTCAGTAGATATTTTTCAGTTGACTGTCATGGGACATCATTGGATTGGTGACGATTTGGCAGCCAACCTCAATCAAATGAGCACTAACAAGCGATGCAGCTTTAACTTAATAACGATATCCAAGACCGACGACAAAAGATCCAACGTTTCGTGGTCTATTTCGGCTAATCCTTCACTTCAGTGGGGTCACTTGATGAACGGTGTGCTGTCCCAACCTTCCACAATATAAAACTATATTTAATATATATAAATATTCAGAAGAATTACGATAAACATAAGACATCCAAAAGTTTTTTCTGAAATCTTTTTATTTTTTCTTTTATTTTATTAATCTTTTAAACAAATATTTTCTATCTCAATAAAACATATAGTTATTGGTTAGTAAAAAGGGACATATATGCCTCTCTTAAGTACTTATTTGGTGTAATAAAAATTCATCCATAAAACATATTTATTATAGTTGTAATAAATTTTAGCCAGTTATGATCCAAAGATGACTTCTTGCTACTCAGTCTTATATATTGCAGAATAAATCTACCTTAAACGATAAGAAATCATTAAAGTATTTAGCTGATCCTTTACAATTTAAATGTCACAACTTCGGCTATTATCAATATTGTCATCATGGTCGTAAAAGTGTGCGTCCTACAAGGGAAACATATGCACAAAGTACTTTTATCTACTTAAAACAGAAAAGTGCTTTTAAAAACTACAGCACATAAATTGTGGTGGCGCCATGAAAGATGTACACACTTTGTATGAAAAAAGGAGCAAGGATACCAGCATACCTGGCTGGCACTATTAGATTAAATGAACATTGTGTGCATATTGTTGCTACCTACTAGTTTTACTATTTTAATGCAACTTTTTTCGCCTCCTTTCGACATGAATCCTTGCGTACAAAGTCTATTCGAAGGTGAGTGCGTGTCCTGTGGATGTACGCAAAGCTCTTAAACGAAGTTTAAATTTATGCTACAGAGGTAGAAAGCAAAGGACGTTATAACACTTATAGTGGTTTAAATTTATAGTGGTTGGAAAAGTTGTTCGTAGTATGCCATCATTTAAGGAAGTTAAATATTTTGTCACTTGTACTATCAGTAAGAATAATAGAAAAAGACTAAAAGATGTAAAAAATTTGATTAATATATTATTTTATTTCATTTAATAGATGCTTATCACATATCAGTTCATTACCATCTCAACAGGTGTTTGCTTAGCTTAAAGTACATAAGAGTATGGAGATGCAGCGGTATAGTGTAAATGTGATGGATATGATGGTGCATAAGCTAGTGGTGCAGCAAGTCTAGGTGCTACTAGAGGTGCAGAATAAGCTAAAGGTGCCAATGAAGCAGCAGCTGCTAGAGGTGCTGCTACTGGTGCAATTGGTGCAATAGGAGCAGCCGCAAGTGGTGCTGGAACTGGGGCAATAACTCTGGCTACTGGTGCAATTGGTGCAATAGGAGCAGCCGCAAGTGGTGCTGGTGCAACAATTCTAGCTACTGGTGCAACTGGAGCGGCGGCCACAATTGGTGCAGCAGCAATTCCATTGAAAGTTCTAGCCACAACTTGATTACTTGTGGCTGTGATGAGTGGTGCTGGTGCAGCTATAACAGCTGCTGGTGCAGTATAAGTTAAAGGTGCACCAATTAAACCTGGTTTGGCAGCAGCGTAAGCAATTAAAGCAAAGATGACGATTGTCTAAAAAATAAAATATTGTATTAATAACGTTTTTTTAATATAATTTTATTTTAAAACCATTGAGGATACAACTTACAAGCTTGAACATTTTTGGTTTGTTAAAAATTTTGTTTTGTTGATAGAAACAACTAAAGTTGAACTGTGTTGATGTTTCCAAAAATTCAGTTATTTATATAAAGCAATATTTTTTAAAATTTGTTTTAAGTTATAAGTCGTTCAATGACCTTAAAACTATAGACAAAATATTGTATTGGTACCATTTAGTATATTTTTTAAATAATTGAGTTTTGTCTTCAATTCATGTAAATTGTTGCAATATTACGACTCGTCCAAAACTTAAATTCAATGTCAATAATTGTCAAGCATAAAAATTTATGTGTGGACGTACGATTAAAATAGGTTGAAATATTTATACTTACATTGAAAACTAATAAATAAGTTTAATTTAGTAGATGAGTAATTATTTAACATTTTATTTCTCATAACTTCGCCAGAGAGTGGAAGACTCTAGTGGCGAAGTTCAAATAGGAGCAATAGTAGAGTGACTTAAGGGTCAGCGATCAGAAACTAAAAGATCAAATTAGTATCTCATAGCTGCAGTAAATTAAAAACATTATGGTTCTGTTTATGTTTTAGTTCAATAATACTAATAATAAATAATGAAGAAACATTATTAATATAATAAAGAATTTATGATGAGTTTTGATACTCGTATATGCTATATTGAAATCCCCAAACATTAGGTGTTGATTCGAGCAGCTATGGTTTAGGTGTAGTCAACATATTACAGTAACTGTTTTACGGTAAAAATATATCTGATAGTATATGCATTACTATTTGAAATATTAAAATAGTTTATTTGAGCATAATTCAATTTTAAAGAGATTAATAAATTGATTTTTTAACAGTAATAGTAAAAATAAAAACTGGTGTTTAGAGAAAATTATTTTATTTAAAAAAAATTATTACCTATAAATAAATGCTACATCAACAGTACTAAGTTAAAAAAATTATAAATTTAAAAATACAATATATATGTAATAAATATATGTAATAAAATAATAGACCACCAAATATTCAAAGAGCACAATAATTTCAAAACAGAACTCATTACCACTGGGTACCGATATATCAATTAAAACGACGTGCCATGAATAATTAAAAATTGGATGCCCTGAGTACGACCAGTTGCCATCAATTTTGAGTGGGTTAGTCATAAATTATTTTATTGTGGGCTGGAAGGTATAAAAGCAGAAAACCGTTAGCAATCAAATATCAGAAACTAACAAGTCAACTTCGAAGAAACAAAACAAACATTTAATAAAAAATTAAAAATGTACAAATTTGTAAGTATAAAAAATAGTAATTTTAAGGATAATGTATACCATTTAATATTTAAAATCTCTTACAGACCGTAGTCATCTTTGCTTTAATTGCTTGCGCTGCTGCCAAACCAGGTTTAATTGGTGCACCTTTAGCTTATACTGCACCAGCAGCTGTTGTAGCTGCGCCAGCACCACTTATCACAGCTACAAGTAATCAAGTTGTGGCTAGAACTTTCAATGGAATTGCTGCTGCACCAATTGTAGCCGCCGCTCCAGTTGCACCAGTAGCTAGAGTTGTTGCACCAGTTGCACCAGTAGCTAGAATTGTTGCACCAGCACCACTTGCGGCTGCTCCTATTGGACCAATTGCACCAGTAGCAGCACCTCTGGCAGCTGCTGCTCCATTGGCATATTCAGCACCTTTAGCTTATTCTGCACCTTTAGTAGCACCTAGACTTGCTGCACCATTAGCCTATGCACCATCATATGCATCACATTTACACTATACCGCTGCATCTCCATACTCTTATGTACTTTAAGCTAAGCAAACACCTATTGAGATGATTATGAACTGATACATAATAAGTACTTAAACAATTAAATAAAGAAATATTATATAAATAATTGTAAAAACTAATTTTTTTTAATATATCAATATTAAGGAAATGAATTAAGTATAACTTTAGTGAAAGGATCTCATTAGATATAAATTTTTTACTAAACTCATAGACAACGAATTTATAAACTACACAGCATTTACATAAATTCTCGATATTAAGCAACTTGATATCCTGATATATATTTTTTAAAAGGTCATGTTATATCGAGTTGAATGCTATAATTATACTGAAATTTGTCTATATCGGTTTTTATCACAATATCTTAGAGAATGGAGTTAGTCTTGATATATATTGCTGGCTCTAATAGTAATTGTTTTTTTGAGAAACACATTCAATTTTGATGCCATACATTGACTATGTCATTTTCTTCACAATCTTTGGGTAACATTTAAGAGTAAGGAGATGTACATATATAGGGTATTTCGGTTAAAAGTGTTTTTGCAGCGAAAATTGTTTCTTTGATCGAAAAAACATAATAAAATAGTATGAAAGAGGAAATCCGTTTTCAATATTTATCAAGATAGAGAGTGTGAAAGATTCGTCTATCTAATATATTTAAATAATACAAAATTATTAAGAAAATGATACAAAAAACTGTAAAATTTGCTCATCTTGAGCACGAAAACAACAGGCAATAAAGAGCAAGAATTAGAACTGTTGGTTTGATTACAGATTATACAGGGATTAGTTAGAATAATTAATTAAACATATCTTAACCTATTAATTATATAATATATCAATTGTACAATATGTTAAATATATAACTTACAATATATAATATATCAAATTTAGAAAAATTAATCATACAATATATTAATTATTTGAGTTCAAGCGCTCCAACACTATATTTAATAAGAGTGGTAAAATATTATAATCATATTACGAAAATGTAAAAGCGTTAATATTAAAATTACACATGTCCTATATGATTAATGGTTTCATTTAACATAATTTAATATGTAAACATAAATATTTGTTTTCAGCAATGTGACAAGAAAAACTGTCAGAAAAGTTGCTTCATAATATTAGCAACATTTAAAAAGCAACAAGCAACGATCAACAATAACAACATTAACAGCGGCAGAAAATGCAAATGCGTCACGCATAAAATTGTGCTGCTATTACATTAAAAGCAATCTGAATTGCAATAACAGATATAAGAGCAACAGCAGCAGCTGTTACACATTGTATGCACTAAAGGAGGATATCAAATCGCATATATGTTATGTATGCAAATTGTACACACACTTACACAACATACGCACTACATACACCAATAAACAAAAAGTTAACAAGAATAACAAAGTCAAAAGCGCAAGTAGAGTTTTAATATGCAAAGAAAGTAAGCAACATGTAGAATGCAGTGCCTGAGCTTAAGAGAGCAGTAGCTAACAGTGTTACCAAGCAAAATGATGTTGTTTAAGCATAAATGCAGACGTCACTTAAATGAAGGCGTTATGCTTAAAGCTGTCAGCGACCAACATATAGCAACATTGCTCTTACAGTCACTTACGAACAAAAACAATGTAAAGATAAAAAAATGTTAATATTAGCAGTGCTTGCCTTTAAGAGGATGACGCGAGGAGATAAATTTTAGCTTCATAACTTGAAGGTACATACTTGTGCGTGTTCTTAACTTTAGTTATGCTAAAATGGAGAGAAAATGTAAAACAATAATTTCTACATAAAATAGAGAAAAAAAAATACAACAAAATATAATAAAAACATTAAATCTAGCTGTGCAGTAGCAGCGGTGTACATAAACTCGCAAAAGCAAGTGTAAGCAAAATCATGCGAATAAAGAAAAACAAAGCTAAATATAGCAGAGCTGCTGTCAACTGCAGTAGCTGAAGCAACTGTAAAGACGTTAACGTGTGCGAGATATGCAATCATAATATTAAATGTAATTACTTGCAGTTGCTACTTTTAATGTGAAAGGATAATTCGTTTTTCAGGTGAAAGGAGGAAAAATTATTTTTTAATAATGTAATGTAAATATTTATTTTTTGATATGGAGGATATAATTCATGAATTACTGATTTTTTAATTTTAAACAATTTTTATTGGAAGTTTTCTATATTATTTCAATTCGCATTTTAAATTGTTAATTTCTTTCTGAAAGTTTTTAATGCTTTATTTCGATAGACGTTGTTGGTAGTAATATACAGTATAAAAACCAACTCACCAAAATTCACTCCCGTAGGCACGCAGTTGGTACACCTAAAGCCATCTAAATTATGAGTGAAGACATTAAAATTTAACAAAGACTAAAAATTATTTGTCACCACGAAATTTATTTCGAATTATAATTTATTTAACAACAAAAAAAACAATAGAAAAAATGTCAAAACAAGAAAGCCTTCGTGCATAGGTGTGGTACTGCATCAAAGCTTAAAAAGGCTCAACTTCCAGGCTCCACATTATTCAGAGATGAGAATTCGCCATAAAACTAGACTTTCGCTGGGGTGTAGCTTAGATCGCCTCCACGTGGGTAAGGCCAAATGATCTATCTCCCTCCCAGGATGCTGTCGCTTTCATTGGCTCCAATATCCTTTGGCAATAACTGCTTCATCCTTGGACTTCTTTGATTAACATTCCGATTGATTGTCCTGGGCTGGTGGCTAAAGGTTTCTGGACCAAGTTGTCTTCTGGCACGTCATAAATCCTACAATATTAGGGATCTACCCAGATTCATAGAACTACCAGGTTGGTTTACCTTCACCCAATGGGGGAGTCGTTACCTTTTTCGGCGTTGATCGTATACTGATCACCTTAGCTATGTACAAACCAATGCTATTACTGTGGTACCACAACGGGACATTATTTAAGCTCAAGTGGGCTTTCTTGGTACACTAGGCCGCTACTCCAACCTTACCTAGATTTTCGCTCGGTGCGTTGCAGAAGAACAGAAGATAAACTTTGTCAACGGCCAATGAACTTCAACGCAGTAAGGTTGATCCATTAATGATATAAAAGGTGCGTGCACCTGGTAGAAGGTTATTTAGTTTTCGCGACTGGGCAGTGAAGATGAGTAAATATATTAAGAAATCGATTCTTTGGTTTAGATAGGCAGGTACGAGTCGATTGATGTGGGTCTAGCAAAATTCAGGGATTGAACAGTAACTGAATCCAGGTTGCACAGTGGATAATACATATATCTCCTAGCGTTTATTCATAATTAGCTTATTTAGATTAAAGATCTTCGTATGGCACTTAACCTCATAAGCGACGTTAATAAAAAAACTGCCTAGATGAAGCATTGTAAAAGTGCTATAATACCACAGTAAATGCAATGAATTTATTGAAGACAATCCTCCCATGAAATTTTTCATTTTATTTTTTAAACAATTAATATTTAATTGTTCAATTTCTGTGAAATGCACAACCACATACGCCTGAGTATATCAATCCAGTCTCAGCGCGTATAAACAAACTAGATCTAGATACTATATATTATCTACTATTCTTTACTAAATAATGCACTAATTAATTGATATAAAAATTTATATCACTGTAAATAAAATTGTATAGATCAGATTTGCTTTACTTAGAAAAATAAAGGCTTTAGATCTGAAAAATAGTGTTAACAAATTTTTAATTATAGTATAATGGTAACGCTAAAGTTAACTGGTTCATAAACTAAAACATATTCCATTTAAAATCTCATAGTTTAAATGTATGTTCTGAAGCTCTAAACTTAATTATAGTAACTAGTGCTACTCCGATTAAAATAAAAAAAATCCCTAGAAGACAATCCTAAGAAGTTAATACTGTAGATAGTTATTAAAGTAGATGTATATTAAATTAAAAATTATAAATTCATTTATTTATATATCAGTCATTCAACGTAAGATCTCGTTTACAATAAAACTGGAGCAGCTGAGAGTGATGCAGAGTATGCCAATGGTGAACTATAGGTCAAAGGAGCAGCAGCATAAGCAGCGCGAGCTAATGACGCTGAGTAGGCTAAAGGAGAAGCGTAAGCCAAAGGAGCAGCAGCGGCCAAAGGAGCAGCTACAGGTCCAACAGTTTTCACAATTGGAGCAGCAACTAATGGAGCAGCAACTGGAGCAGCAGCAACAATTGGTGCAGTAGCGATTCCATTGAAATTTCTAGCAACAACTTGACTACTTGTAGCAGTAACAAAAGGTGCTGGAGCAGCTACGACAGCAGCAGGTGCAGTATAGGCTAATGGAGCACTTAGTAGACCTGGTTTAGCAGCAACACAGGCGATGACAGCGAAGATGACAACGACCTGAAATAACATAGTAAATAATATTATTAGAAATATCCTTCTATAATTTCTTAATTAACTTACAAATTTGAACATTTTGGTTGGATGTTTTTTTGTACTTTAAGTTACTGTGAGGAGAACTAAAACGTTTTTGATATCAAACAAAGAGTTTCACACTATTTTTATACAAAAATTTGTATAAGTGAAATGATTCACTTCACAATTGCTAGTTGCTAGTTGATAGTTGATAGTTGGTAATTGGTAGTTGCCTGTTACCGATTTTTATTTACGAGTTCAATTTTAATTTTAAATTTCAATTTCAATTCATTGACTTAACGCGTTTGTATCTTAAAACGGTTATTGTAGTTTTTGAACTTCATTAAAATTCTCCACACAAATTCCCAAAAATTGTATAAATGAGGTTTCAGTGTTTAATATAAGAAACAAGCAATTTAACATATTTTATAAAATAGTTTTGGAATATTGAATGGAATGACTCAAATATTTTGTTTTGCATAAATGCAGAAGGACAAGTGCAAGAAATGACCTTTTTAAGCATTTTGCTTCACATTTGCAGTTGAAATTTGTATAAAAAGAATTCAGTTTCGGAAGAATATATCAAATACAAATCAGCTTTTGTTTCACAAACAAACACAAATTAAACTCACAACAAACAAAATGTTCAAATTCGTAAGTTAATCAAGAAATGGTAAAAGGATATTTTTAACAAGATTATTTACTCTTTCAGGTCGTTGTCATCTTCGCTGTCGTTGCCTGTGTTGCTGCTAAGCCTGGTCTGCTTAGTGCTCCATTAGCTTACACTGCACCCGCTGCTGTTGTAGCTGCTCCAGCACCTTATGTCACAGCCACAAGTAGTCAATATGTTGCCAGAAACTTTAATGGAATCGCTGCTGCACCAATTGTTGCTGCTGCTCCAGTTGCTGCTGCTGCTCCATTAGCTGCTGCTCCAATTGTGAAAACTGTTGCACCTGTAGCTGCTCCTTTAGCCGCTGCTGCACCTCTGGCTGCTGCTGCTCCATTGGCTTATTCTGCTCCTGTTGTTAGTGCTGCTTATGCTGCTGCTCCAGTTGGTTATGTTAATGCTCATTTGGATGCTGCTTATGCTGCCGACAGTGTTCACATCGGACAAAGATACGATGGCGCCATTTTGCCAGCAACTTATGCCGCTGTTTCTCCAGTTGCTGCTCCAGTAGCACCAGTTGCTCCATTGAAATATACAGCCGCTCCTGTTTTGCTCTAAACTGTTATTGTTAACCAATTATAATGATCTACTTTCCTTCGAATAAACTACTGATCTGATATTTTTAAGCAAATTCTTTGGTTTTATTTATAAAAAATTATGAAATTCTATTATGATATATTTTTGGTCTTGTTTATTTTAGTTTGTGAATCAACTTCTTATTAATGTGTGCTATTTGTGTACACTAAACATCCCTGAAGAAGAAAACATTTTTGAAATTTATTAAATTTAAGGACATCCTTATGATTATCCTTATCGCAGATGATTCTTTGAATTAAATTATAATAAGTCCACATTCTAAATTGTATTAAATTTCTATTTTTTGAATCTTCCTTTCACTTTGTGCATCATGAGTCCAACCACTACTGGCATTGTCTCAATATAGACTTGGCTTATTTTTATACTAAAATATTTATGGTACTTTTTTGGTGTTCGCCCTGCATTAGAGCATGCGTCTAAACATAATGTGTGATAACTTCGTAGTTTTTCAAATGATCTGCTTGAAATTTGAAATACAGTCAACCATAACTCGAATTTTCTATAACTCGAACCAAAAACAATGCACCAAGGTTTTAGAGGGTATATTACATACAATTTTGCTTCCATAACTCGAACTTCTATAACTTGAATTTCTCTAATATGGGAAAGTGCATTCTATAATTCGAATTTTTTTTTTAAGTATAAATGCATTTTGCTGCTAGGGGAAATCCCTTTTTCCGAACCAAATGCTTAATTTTTTCTTTTTTATGTTGCTTCTGCAAATGCCAGTCGTTTGCAATGTGGTTTAAACTAAATAAAATAAATTCCAATGCTACTCTTAACGATTATATTGAGCTTGACAACAAAATTTTTACATCAAGCTTTCCTACAGATAACGATATTACTGAGCATTATTGCTCTGAATCAGTGGATCCGATTTTAAGCGCAAAGGAAAGTGTGATGAGGGTTTAGTAGATGAAATTGCTCATCAACCTTTCAAGAATGAAGTACAAGATTCATTCAAAATTCTAAATTTTTATTTACAAACGTATGAGACTCCAACTGATGAAATAAATTGGATCTGTTTTTACTAAAATTAAGAAAAAGTAATTAAAATCCCAAACCCTAATTTCTGATTATTTTACTTCACTATAACTTCTGTGTTTTATTTGATTAAAAATAAATAAATATCTTAAAATACATATCTTAAAAAAATTCTCGAACTCGAAGTCTCCACAAATCGAACCTTTTCTTTGCAGAATTGGACTTCGAGTTATGGAAGTTTGACTGTATAATTAAATTGAATATTTTTAAAATAAAAAATATTGTTTTATTATTTGGGTTTTTTTTTGTTAATATATATATGAGGTTTATTAAAGTCATATTGTACATTAATTTTAAGTGATTTGTGGCACCTGAAACAGGTGGCAAACAATGTGTGATGAATAAATTTTCGTTATTTGTAAAACTTTAATAATTGGCTTCTCCAAAAAATATTCTAGACAAAACTCAGATACATTGTTTGGGTATAGCAGATAGAAAGACAAAAGTCCATAAAACAGAATAATTCATTTTTTGTGCATTTTTACCATTACATTTAACTGTTTATGGAACTTCTTTCCACGTCAATAGTGAAATATTTATATGGGCTTAAGATGGGGCAATTTCTACGAAAAATCAATTTCACGAAGATTGAAATTTGTAAAAATTGAACAATTACTTCATTATTATTATTATTTTAATTTTAAATGCATTGATATACTCTACCGTTTCTATAAAAATTTTAAAATATATATTTCATATATTACTAATTAATATGTATTTTTTATATATTTAAATGTTAATATTTATTAAAATTTATTTAACATTGATTTATATATTTATTTATATATATATATAAGTTATGATTTTAAAAGTAATTCAATTTTTACCACTGCTGTTGTTAATAGAGCAATAACTGCTACCATTTCTTTCATGATATAAGTTAAATTCAGTAAACAATTATTTATGCATAAATAATAATAATAATTAAATATATATCTTGCAGCTTTTCATTACATTTATATTAAAATTAAATTGTTTACTTGCATTCGATAGCGATTAGCAACTCTGTTTGATTTCACCACGAAGGAAATACAACAAAACAGCTTCATACTACGGCCAAACTTACAAAGATCTTTTAACGATATTCTAAAGATATTTATATATTTTATAAATAAAAAGATATTTTAAGATATTTTAAAATTTATTTGGTATTTGCTGTGTTAGGTTGTCATTTTGTGTTTGTGTTTTATATGAGTGTGACATGTGTTACTTTTCTGTACTCAGCCATGCCCGCGGTTTTGTAACACTAAATTTATATGTAATAAAATTTTAGTCATTACAAACTTTGCATTAAGGAAATTTACCCACACTTATGCCAATCGTGGTGGGACTCAGGATGCACAAAGTGAAGGGAAGATTCAAAATATATAAATTTACAATACAATTTAGAATGTGGACTTAATATAATTTAATTCAAAGAATCATCTGCGATAAGGATAATCATAAGGATGTCCTTACAATAACAATACAATAAATTTAAAAAATATTTCTACTTCAGGGATGATAAGTGTACACAAATAGCACACATTAATAAGAAGTTGATTCACAAAATAAAATAAACAAGACCATAAATATATCATAATAGAATTTCATAATTTTTTATAAATAAAACCAAAGTATTTGCTTAAAAATATCAGATCAGTAGTTTATTCGAAGGAAAGTAGATCATTATAATTGGTTAACGATAACAGTTTAGAGCAAAACAGGAGCAGCGGAATATTTCAATGGAGCAACTGGTGCTACTGGAGCAGCAACTGGAGCAACAGCGGCATAAGTTGCTGGCACAATGGCGCCATCGTATCTTTGTCCGATGTGAACACTGTCGGCAGCATAAGCAGCGTCCAAATGAGCATTAACATAAGCAACTGGAGCAGCAGCATAAGCAGCACTAACAACAGGAGCAGAATAAGCCAATGGAGCAGCAGCAGCCAGAGGTGCAGCAGCGGCTAAAGGAGCAGCTACAGGTGCAACAGTTTTCACAATTGGAGCAGCAGCTAATGGAGCAGCAACTGGAGCAGCAGCAACAATTGGTGCAGCAGCGATTCCATTAAAGTTTCTGGCAACATATTGACTACTTGTGGCTGTGACATAAGGTGCTGGAGCAGCTACAACAGCAGCGGGTGCAGTGTAAGCTAATGGAGCACTAAGCAGACCAGGCTTAGCAGCAACACAGGCAACGACAGCGAAGATGACAACGACCTGAAAGAGTAAATAATCTTGTTAAAAATATCCTTTTAACATTTAATCAAGAAATGTTAACTTACGAATTTGAACATTTTGTTTGTTGTGAGTTTAATTTGTGTTTGTTTATGAAACAAAAGCTGATTTGTTTTTGATATATTCTTCCGAAACTGAATTCTTTTTATACAAATTTCAACTGCAAATGTGAAGCGAAATGCTTAAAAAGGTCATTTCTTGCACTTGTCCTTCTGCATTTATGCAAAACAAAATATTTGAGTCATTCCATTCAATATTCCAAAACTATTTTATAAAATATGTTAAATTGCTTGTTTCTTATATTAAACACTGAAACCTCATTTATACAATTTTTGGGAATTTGTGTGGAGAATTTTAATGAAGTTCAAAAACTACAATAACCGTTTTAAGATACAAACGCGTTAAGTCAATGAATTGAAATTGAAATTTAAAATTAAAATTGAACTCGTAAATAAAAATCGGTAACAGGCAACTACCAACTACCAACTATCAACTAGCAACTAGCAATTGTGAAGTGAATCATTTTACTTATACAAATTTTTGTATAAAAGTAGTGTGAAACTCTTTGTTTGATATCAAAAACGTTTTAGTTCTCTTCACAGTAACTTAAAGTACAAAAAAACATCCAATCAAAATGTTCAAATTTGTAAGTTAATTGAGAAATTATAGAAGGATATTTCTAATAATATTATTTACTATTTCAGGTCGTTGTCATCTTCGCTGTCATCGCCTGTGTTGCAGCTAAACCCGGTCTACTAAGTGCTCCATTAGCCTATACTGCACCTGCTGCTGTCGTAACTGCTCCAGCACCTTTTGTTACTGCTACAAGTAGTCAAGTTGTTGCTAGAAATTTCAATGGAATCGCTGCTGCACCAATTGTCGCCGCTGCTCCAGTTGTGAAAGCTGTTGCACCTGTTGCTGCTCCTTTGGCCGCTGCTGCTCCCTTGGCTTATGCTTCTCCTTTAGCGTATTCAGCTCCATTAGCCCGCGCTGCTTATGCCGCTGCTCCTTTGGCTTACGCTTCTCCTTTAGCCTACTCAGCTCCATTAGCCCGCACTGCTTATGCTGCTGCTCCTTTGGCCTATAGTTCACCATTGGCATACTCTGCACCACTCTCAGCTGCTCCAGTTTTATTGTAAATGATTTGTTATTTTGACTGATATATAAATAAATGAATAAAATTAAGTAAGTTGTAAAATTAATTCATGGCATAATTTGTTTTAATTGAAACGAACAATATTTAGGTGCATAGCATAAGTTGTGTGAAAAAAATGAGATTTTGTTAACAGTTCTATAGTATTTCAAAAAGTCATCGTTATTCTTTGTGGGGCTGTTTGGTAAGTCGGTAATAACTGCTTTATATATATTTTGAAATTCGTAGATTGGTTTCTTAAACAGTAGTGAATTGCAGTAACAAAGTTTTATTATTTATGTTTACCTGTTTAGAGTATCGCCAAATACCCATTATCAGTGGCCTCAGAATTATTTTTCATATTTAATTATTCGTACCTATATACATTTTTAAGCCTGCAAGTTCCAAACATTATTTAATACCCTGCTAAATTTGAAGCTCAGAATTAGTGTTCATTAGCGAAATGACCCAAAGCCGTATCTTAGATTTAAGCCATAAAAACAGTCAAAACGTTAAGCTAGTAAAAATAATTTTAATAATGTTAAGTTTAACCGAGACCATACCAACAACAAAAATAAAAATAATATTAGGTGATAATCTCAAAGTATATATTGTCACATAAATGCAGAAAGTAGTAGGTAAAAACGGTCGACTTAGTCAGAGAGCGTTTACCTTGCTTGAAAACGCGTAAATTGTAAATACCAGTCGACTGATTGTGAGAAATTCGATTAATAAAAGTATCACTAATAATAATAATGGTTGGAAGTCCTTTTCATCAAGTGTATAGAACTCAAAGAACACTTATCACTTTTCATATATCACTACTTATCAATCGACTCTCATAATATTCGTTTTTAATAGTTTGCTTTTTTCAGGCGGATGGAGAACTGTGTCCACAATTTGATCTAATGTAGCAAATTACTTACTTATTTACTTACTTAGTTGGCTATTACAGAAGTTAGTCGTATTTAGACGCATCCAGTAGGCTTCGGCATCCAACCTGATTAGCGGCTTATGTCCTTTACCGCGTTTTGCGCTAGTGAATGGAGTTTTAAGCACCTTTCAACCCTTTCCTATAGCTTGTACAGCTCTTTGTTCCATCTAATTCGATACTCTTCCACAATGCGTAAGGGACCATTGATATTCAGAAGAATTTTCCTCTCGAATGTTCCTAACGTTTTTTCATGCTATTGGTTATTGTTTCCACTAAGAAACATGAAATACGTGATTTTTATATGTCGGCATATATGCTTTATGTCTCAATTGCCTACCTAGACTGAAATAATATATGTTAATATGTTGACTTGAGTTATTCTTCGCTTAATCTTTAGATTGGCGTCATTTTTAGTGTTTACTCTGGTTCCCAAATAAACACAGTATTCCACAACATCAAACTAATAGTTGTGAAAAATGAAAAGGGTCCATTAACACCAAAAAAATTTGATATCAAAAATAAAATTCTTCTTTATAAGCAAATAATTATGAGTGTATTACTTATAGCAATGCTGCTCCATTCACCATTAGAAAACTCCAAACTTATCAGAATATTGTACTGAGATGCATGCTGAAAAAATTTCGAAATGAAGACATACAGAAAGACTGGAATTATTCGATTCAGTGGAAGCGCACACTATGTTAATTCACAATTGCACTCTCTCAAATCTAATGCTATATATATTCCGTCAGGCAAATATGCTGGGCTTCAAAGCATAGTTCTATAAAATCATCTGAATAACTTATTATCAGTATACAGAGGAGCTTTTATTACAGTGGATCATCTAAATGGTCACTATTGATTACACTATTGAGCAAAAGTGCTTTAGACTTTAACTCGCGTTTGATTAAGCAAAGAAGAAGTAGAAGTGAAAATGATTGTAACAAATTAGTAATATTTAAAAATAATTTTTATTGTTTATAAATTTCTATATTATTGCATTTTTAAAATTTAAAAAAATCAAGTCAGGCATTTAATTTCACACTTGAAAATAAATAAGAAATTCCGTTGAAACTAAAAGCGAACTGCAAGCAGTGAATGGCCTTTACCGAATTATCAAACACATCACGTATGAAAATTAAAAAATCGTTGTGAACACTGGTGACCACTTTATGGTTGGCCAGTTGAGTAGTAAACATTGGACACAATAGGTCAGAAGATATATGGAACCAAGTACAAAAAAGCTAAGCAAAATATGATTTGCTTTGTTTTGCTACTTCCATTTACTTAAGTATAGTTTTTCTGAATTTTATATGTTACCACATGTGCACATACATTATTTGGTTATAAATGATTTATGTCAAGGTTAGATAAACTTTTTTGGTAGTTATAGGTTGAGTGACCGACCTTTAAAGACATTCGATGCAATTGTACAATTTTTTTCAATATAATTTATGTATCTAATGTCATACGTAAAATCAACAGAAATTCCCTTGTTTTGACTACATTAAAATTAAGGTTAAAAAATAAAAAATGATTTTATACATTATTAAGTTAATATATAACTTTATTTAATTACATTAAATATGTAGAATTAATAATAATTAAATATGATAATATGCATTTTCGATAAGCTAAAAATCAACAGCAAAAACAACAACAACAAAGTAGTGTGCTGAAGATTATCTGGGCGTATGAGTAACATTGAGTATTAGTGCCAGCATTAAAAAGTAAAAGTATGAAATGCCAAAGCTGTTAGAGTGAAAGTACTTGTTAGCTGCCGACTGACTTAAGTTGCAATAGGAATGCTGCACTGTATTCTTTGCTGTGGGAGCTACCATAATGTGCCGCCATAACTACTGTAACCATAACCATAAGCAGGATAATAACCATAAGGATAAGAAGTGCCGTATCTGTAAATGTTCGTGGTAGGATATACGCCAGCGTACGTTGGATATGCGGCGTTTGGCACAACTGCAGTGGGCACATAGCCAGGCACATAGTAACGTCCGTAATTGCGTACAAACACTTGACTGCTATGTGCAGTGGGTATGCCAGCAATATGGTATGTGGGTGTGGCAGGTATAACACTGCCAGCAGCAACAGCTGCACAAATGCTGATGAGCAATAATTGCTAGAAATAAAATTAAACATTTACACTTGTTGATGATAAGAAAAAAACATATAAAAAATATTAAAGCGCACTTATAGGTAACATACAATTTTCATAGTGATCCTTAGCTATATCCCTTGTGATGTGTGTAGCAAAAATAAACGTAATAATATCGTGGATAGCGTATCAAAATTCAAATGCACTGCAATGTATAACAAATGCTTTTGGACAGCTGCAAGCAATTGTTGCACTTTATATGCACTCTGTTAGTGCATCTAGCTACTTCCTTATTTGGGTGAAATGCCGAGCTGACATGGCTAATAACGCCTGCTGCTTCTCATTTGTATATTTATATTCAAATTCAAATCAAATGCAATGTTCGTAAGTTTTTTTTATTCATGCAGTTTTCTGTTTGGCTACTGAATATTCCATGGCTTCTCATATTCGTTTTAAATTTTGGTTAATGTTTTTGGTTTGAAACTATTTTAGTATTGAATACTCGACAGATGCGAAGAAAGATAAACTTTTCAGTTGCTTTAGGGAAATATAGTTTTAAGCAAATTGATCTACATATGTCAATCAAATATCAAATAAATATATAAATTATGCAGCAATACGTTGTAATAATACTAATGAGATAGCTTGATCTGAGATGTATCTTGCATATTAATCCGACATACTTTTATGAAAAATTAACGTATGTGTACTTTGTACCATATAAAAAATATTTCGCAGAGGTGTCCAAACTCTTTAAATGTATATTGTGAGCAATTGATTGGTTATTGCGATAATAAGAATATCAATAAATTCGTTATAATACACTATATCGATTATATATAAGATTAGTTGCAGTTATGTTGTGTTAGAATGTTAATGAGAAAGAAATTTTATTACGTTTGATAAATTTTTATTTAGTGTCCAGACGTCCAGTCCCTAGAGAAGACTGAAGATTGGCATTTCACTCAATCTTATTTTGTTGTTCAAAGCTCCAGTCACTAGTTAAGCTCAATAGACTGAATCCGTAAGACTAGAGTTATGTCACTACGGAAACTTGCATTTAATATCTCAAGCAAGCACAGCATAATCTCACATCCACCTTTTAAATGTGTCAACTTGATAACAGGTACGCTCTGTAAACGGAACGGCCAAGTATCATCGACAATACCCGGACTCATTGGCGAGTAATCACTAGAAATATTAATAATATAAGAATAATTTTTTAGTTATTTGTTAACAACACTAAAGGAATCAATAGAGTGAGAACTTTAAAATGTTTAATTTTTGGCTTGGGCTATTGTCAAATGTAAACAAGATCATTTTAATTTAGAACAATATTTTTGAAATATTTTGCAAAATGATGCCGGACATTACATAACACAGAGATATTTAATAGGCTGTAGTTTAGTAGAAAATCTATTCAAATAAGTAATTTTTGACATTTTATGACGGGAGTTGAGACTGGTTCATTAGCATAGTATAACACCTATGATGAAGCAGCACTGAGAGTGTTCGAGATAAAAGTTCTTCGTAAGATCTTTGGTCCTCTACGAGTTGGCGACGACTACCGCATTAGAATGAACCACAAGCTGTACGAGCTTTATCACGACATTGATATAATTCAGCGCATTAACATCCAGCGGCTTCGCTGGCTTGGTGATGTCGTAAGAATGGATGAAGATGTTCCGGCGAAAAAGGTGTTTGAAGCAGTAGTTGGCGGAAGAAGACGTAGAGGTAGACCGTGTCTCCGGTGCAATGATCAAGTTGAGGGAGCACTAACTGGACTTGATATACGTGAAGTTGCGCACGCAGAGAGGTGCCTGGGGAGACATGCTGCGTCTTGCCGAAACTCGGTAACGGGTTGTTATAGCCAAATAAGTAAGTTGAGACTGGTGAACTGTGTTTTTGAAACACAGCTTTATTGTGGCACTATTTTTAAAAAAATATATAAAAAGTTTATTATTGGTTTGTTTATTATTGATACTATGTAGCTAAAATTTATTATTAATATACTTAGATAGCATATACTGTGTATTTTAATACACAAAACTATTTCAAAGTATTAGGAAATGGTTATAGTGCGTGTAGTGCGTAGGACAACAAGCGTAAGTGCGGACTTTAGCTTATCCATTCTTATATCAAGTTTATAGAACAGCTTCTACTTTTAAAAATGAAATGTCTGGAAAATCGAATCTGCGGGGTAACTATTTCGTTATAGCATGTATGTGAGACAGCTTATCTTTATAAAAGCGAATCTGTACTGCCGTATGTATAATCTAAATTTTAATAACGAGTACGTAGAGCAGCTGAGCCTTTTGAAAACGAGTCCGCAGAGTAGCTTTCTCATCCTTAAAAGAAAATTTGAAGGAGAGTTTAAATTCTATTTTTTTAATGAGTCTAAAAAATAGTTTGTATGTTAGTGCGTATGGCAGTCCGTACGGCAGATTGGCCATTTTTATTAAGTGAGTCCATGGGACAGGTACAGATACTATATCCTGTAGACATTTTTTTTTATTATATAAGCATAGTCATTAGACCCTATGAAGCGGAGCTCGGCTAAAACTATAAAGTTATATTTTGTATATAATACCATACAATACAAAAAATATTCAAAAAAGATCCAAAAAATAATAGTTGTATTTAATATCATGTTTTAATGACGGAGGAATGGGCTTGTGATGTCTGAATAATTCTTTGTAATATAAAAAAGGCATGACATATAAGATAATAGTTCTGCTTAATGTTAGATATTAATGACAAAGGCATAGACTAGCGCTGCTTTATTTAGTCTTTTATTATTATTTTATTTTAGCTTTATTTTTAATTCATTTTAAATTTTTTGTATTACATAAAAAGTAATAAAAAATTATATTATACATATATATTAAGCTTACAACTATGGCATGTGCCGTGTGCCGGAAGTTTAGATTAATCTAATAACAAGTTTTTATAAATATTAAATAAATATTATTACTTATAAACTAAATACAATATAAATATTAAATTAAATTATTACACCAAAAATAATAGATTTCAAATAAATTAATTTAAAAATCGTCGTTAATAATATTTTGCCTATATTTTAATGCATTTTTAATAAAATCCGTTAATAATCTCCAGTTGGGGCCATTCAGTATCAGTATGGTTTCATTAACATCGAGCGCTGGTTTACGGAAATACAGTACTCTGTGTTCCTTAAAAATTGGGCATTCGCCTACTAAGTGTGAGTTAGTCTTTTATAGCAAAACATTAGAATTGTAGAGCGAGAGTTTTCTTTTATAAAAATTAAATTATTAAGTTTTTTATGTATTATTAAGTATAGCTTAATAATACAGCTCTTCTGTTTTTCGAAGGGTTTTAGGAAATTTAAACCCCGCACGGATAATAGTACAAAAACTATATACATATATTTTAAAATTTATTTTAATAAAAGCTTAAATAAAAGCTTTTTTTGGATTAAAGCCTTTTGCTCATGCAAAATGGACTATCCATCCAATCTATCCAATTTTAGTTAGTAAAAGATATATGAAAAACTTTGTAAAATATTTATTTATATAAACAATATAAATAGTTCTTAATAATAATAAACTAATAAAATTTCCAAGAAAAGCGATGTTTGTATATTAAATTCAAGGAAGATTTATAACTACAATCGTTGTTACACGGCCGACGAAATAAATTACATCGAAATAATTTAAACAATTTTATTAAAATTTTTAAAAATGATTAAAACACATAAATATGTTCTCCCAAATTTCGTTTGTAGGTCCCTTATAAATGTTTGAATAAAGAAAATATATCATCACAACAGTTACAGAATTCTTTGACAAAGGATATTGTATGATATACACTTCACCGTTTGGGTCCTGCCTTCCCTTTTCATGTATGGAAACTTGAATGCTTGAGTAGTCTTGCGTTTTTAAACACTTGAGTTTCGAGTTTTATTTTTTTTCCTTTTCTAACATTTTAGTGTTCTCACTTTCACTATGCACATTCCGCAAAAGGATTCTCAAAATGTTTGCCTAGAAAATTACAAGAAGAAAAGTGAAGCAGAATTTGCGGCTGCAGGAAGTGTGACCCATTTTGTGCAGTAGAGACATTTATTATGGTTAGAGAAGACGAGGTGTTGTAATATTTCGTATGATAAATGTTTGCAAATGACATGTCTTACCAGCTGCGGTAGCATCCTTGCAGTGAATTAAATTGTGAAGGGCAGAAAATGAGATATTTAACGCTAAAAAAAGTGGGTGTAAAATTGGTTCATAGAGCAAAAAATTAATGTAGAAAATTTAATAAAAGGCAAATACTTTAAGTAAAGTAGACAGCGAAATAATTGCGGAATAATATTGAAAATTTATTAAAACAGTTAAAAATTAAAAGCACATTTTATATTGAATCATATAAAATATATATCGCAACAAGTCCTTAGAAATAGTATTGGTCTTTAATTTTAATGAGAATGTTCTAACCTTTCTAACACAGATTCATTAAATATTGTTACAAATTCAGAATAATTCAATCATTTATCAGGTACTCAAATAAAGCAATTAGAACTCAACATATTGTACTTCATGACAGCAGCATTTTTCCATATATATTAATTTGGCAAAGACTATTATTAAAAATATATGCTCTTCGGAATATCTAATTAGCCCACAACAACGTGAGAGATAATAATATATATTTCTAACATATATTATTATTATATTATTATTAATAATATTATTGTAATAATATATATTAACAAAATATTGTGTAAAACTTTCATCTGGCTTATGTTTTCAGCCAGATTACTAATTTTTAAAAAAATTAATAGATAGATATCGGTACCTTTGCGGAGTAACCGCAGCACTACTACTTGCATACCGGTAGCTTTGAATTAGTCGAATGCAGATGCTACTGTGAACAGATAGAGATAATGGAGCAATTAATTGCCTAATGTCCATATCGATCCAGAGCTCCCCAACTGATTATCGGAAAGCTATGATTAATTGGTTCATTAATAATTAAATTTATTTCAATGAATTTGGTTCGTTTCTAACAAAAAATAAAAACCCCAACAAGCCTCATAAAGGGAATAGACCTACTAAAGGTCGTAGTGGCACCTATTGCAATTAAATGCAATGAAATCCCAAATCATTTTTTCTTGTTGAAAAATCAACTTTTTCAATGTATATATAGATATCCATAGAAGTGACTTATTCATACTTATGCTTTCATAATATTTCTATTTA